CTCACTTGGATTAGCTAAGCTGATGGCTTTCCTATTAACCAAATCCTGTATCAACTCATTAATTATCTTAAATTCGCTTAAAGACCACTTTGGTTCTGCAGGTCTACAGATCTGCATGGGTCTTATATGAAAGGGAACACGAAATCCCCTAGTATATGAGACAACAGTTTTGTCAAAGCCGAGCTTAACCCATCTATCAACAAACTTTTTTAATCTACCACCGATAGCACTAACCTCCGAAGTCAGCGACCTCTTTTAGACTGTGTTCTAAATCATTCCCAAATAAAGATAAACAGTCAATTAAAGGGGTATTTTTCAATGTATCCTTGACGTCCTTATTGAGGTTAACTGATATCAGCTCCCTCCTTGAAATTGATTCTCCGTGATGCATATCACAAAGCAGTCGTCCAGCGTCACTAAGAATTTCGATGAAATGCTTAAATTCTCCAGTTCCTGCAATCATGCTTGTAACAACTGATCCAATTCCCGAAATTGCTGCACCAAGTTGAGTTTGCAACTGTGACAACCGGAGATCTCTGCGAGCTGTATTTTCTTGAAGTGCGCCTCTAACTTCAGGGTTAATTTTCGGCGGTATCAACCGTAGCCTACCGATAGATCTAGCCGTGACATTGATTTAGTGACGTCACAACTGGAGATGGGCCACTGCAACGCGATACTATGTGTTTAAATGCAATTTGATTCGCGTGCGTACTCATTTAACACGAAAACATTAAGTAATTACTTATTTTGAGCCGCAGGATTGTTATATGTTGTTTCCTAATTATAGACACGTGTTATTATGCAAAAATTTTATTAAATACGTACATAAACAACAAATACTCACTGAAAACCGAGCTGAAAACAAATCAAATTTAAACATTCTAATACACACATCTGCCTTTTTTAGCGTAACACAACGAAGTTGAGGTAACGCTTATGTGCTCGTCATTCCGTCGTCTGCCTATCTGTCTGTTCCATCGAGATCTCGGCCCCTGGACCACCTAGAGACTACAGATTTTCGGTCATTTGTAGTTGCAAAGGTCTATATTTTCCCGTAACTCATCATTTACATCCTTTTCATATATGATGGCTGATTTTCAAAAATGGTGGGATACGTGTCTTCGGCAAGTTTAATCTGGTCTCGTGGAACTGTTAATGCTGTATTGTCTTATCTAGTCATCTTGTCTACCCGAATAATGAAAATGTCGGAGAAATGCTTTATACAAACCCTGGAGTAACTAGTAATTTCAAAATTGTCCCGGTGAATACATCTTAACTACTTTTTTTAATCGTCTTCATTTTTCGGAAAACAAAAAACCGTAAAGAACCTTGTCTCTTGAACTATAATTGCTTTTGCAACCAGGGACGCAGCACGTATTTGGCATTTTCTTACTTATTCTGTTCGAATACAGTTAATTTAAGTGTACAACATTAAACTACTTGGAATTAATTACATTAAAAGTCGATATGACGGCCGCCGTCAGTTGTGACGTCAACGCAATAGTGGGGATGAGTGTCACGGCTAGTTCTATCGGTAGGCTACGTATCAACTCTGCATAGTTTTCAGGAGGAAGATATTTCTTAATAAGAACTGATTTCTGCTCCTCTGGCAGACCAGCTCTTAGAAGCTTTCCCCAACGTGAAGCTAAGTCAGGTTGCCAAGGATCAGAAAATACTTTTTCTGAAGCGACATCCTCGCCTAATAAAGTTAGGGATATCAGGAGCAAGCACTCCACCTGTCTCGCTTCCATCCGTTCTCTCTAAAAAAACAAACGGTCATTAGATAAAACAAAGGTAACTTGACCGAAAAAAAACCCCCAACATTGGGGCAACGTGCATACAAAGTACACTCTGAACATGTATTGCAACTACCTCTACAACCACAATAAATAGGTACCACTAAGGTACAATGCAAAAGTTTCGAGCCGAACAATTGGCACTGTGGCTCACTGACAGTTGTCGAGATACAATCCCGATAATAATAAGCAATAGTAACCATATTTTTGATGTCGTTCCCTCCATTTTTGATAAACGTTATGAAAATAGAGTAAGAATAATAATGAAGTTTAAGTAACGTTTATATTAATATTTTTTCTCATGGCTATCGATTTCGGCAACATTGGCCATCATCAGGCCTAGCTATAAATATATTCTGTATAATATAAACAACATAATCTTATACTTGTGCTTACCGGTCAGGTTTAAAAAGGCAGCGTTTTTATACATGTCATGTATACGCACTTCATCGGACATGTATAAAATACGCTGGGCCTTTTAAAACCTTGACGGTAAGCACAAGATAAAGATTATGTTGTTTATATAATACAGAAATATATTTATAGCTAGGCCTGATGATGGCAATGTTGCCGAAATCGATAGCCATAGAGAAAAAATTATAATATAAACGTTACTAAACTTCATTATATTTTACAATAAGTACCACACTAGGTACATATTACTCTACCACCCTAGGTAGATAGGCCTTCGGCTTTAATCCAAACGAGCCAATTTGTTAAAAAATTAATATTCAAAATCTGTGCACGTTATACTCGTACAAAACGAGTAATCAACTTACCAAAATTTGTCAATTCATTTTCCTTATCGGAGGCGTAGTCATCATAATCTTCCAAAACACTCGCTGTTGAACCAGCGGGAGAACTCAAAACAGGCCTTGCCGGTGAACCGCGAGTGACACTTGCGCGTTCACGCGAACCTCGCCGAGAACGGGGTGTCGATGACCGGGAGCGGTATTTTCTTTGTCTTTTCTCGACCTTTCCCAGGCGATGATCAATTTTTTGTAATAAAGATCCTAAAGCTTCGATCGTCACAGGCAAAGGGCTGCGACTTCTCCGTCTTTTAGAATGCTTCGGCATCACAAAAACAACAAAACGCCGAAAGAAGAACGTATGTCGATAGTTCGACACAAAAACGAAGACTGAAGTGTAAGGTGTTTAGAGAGTGACTCAGCGGTGGAGGGGGCGTTATTTTGCGCTTTCAAATTGTGGTTAGAACGACCAGATACGAGGGTACTACATTATTTATTTACGAAATGAGGCCGAATATAATAAAATAATATTGACCTTATACTGGAACAGCAGTATACCCTACATTACACGCGTTTGTGAAAGATTAACACAAAGGATAGGTACAAGTCAAAGAATCTTTTGCATTTACAGAAAGCGACCTAAGAAGATTTTTTATTTCATAAGTCATATTTGAAGTAACATTACTTAGCAACCTTTAAAGAACTTGTGTTTTAAGGGTTCGATTTCGAACGCACTTAAGTGTTCAAAACTGAAATTGTTATTCAGGTATAACAAAAAAAAATATTTTACTTGAGTTGTTTATTGACAGCGTCAAAACGGTTTTTTGATTTTAATGTGCTGACTGTTTGCATGGCTGAACAATCAAATATTTTTATAATGTTTTAGTTGATGAGATAAATTAGGGAAAGGTGTAGGAAACTTTATAAATATTATATTTATATAACGGACATGAGCTTTTAAAAGGAAGCTTTAGGAAGCTTTTGGCTTTGCGAACAATTTAGGTTAGAAAGAAGAGGGTTTCAATAAAAAAAACAAATATGGTGTTCGAAGTTTCTGATTTTGTGATATTATTTTACATTTATGATGGCTTACCATTGACCACTTTTGAAATACAAACAAAAGTATGTTTTACCCTCCATCACCGTTCAGAGCCATCCACCAAGGATGAGCCTAGGGATGAGCTGGAAATCTTACAAACAAATTATATCGAACAGAACAGCAATGCAATTTAAATGTTAATCTCTTCGAACACGTATTTTTCAAAAGTATCTTAAGGTTAGTTATTCTTTTACTTGAGGGTAACTTGAGGGAAATTAAGTAAAGCTACCGGCAGCGTATCGAAATGCTATTGTAACTAAAAGAACCCCTAACTATACATACTTGAATTTAACATTAACGTACTTGTTTTATGTTCCTGTACACTAGATGGAGATCCATTACTAAACCTCATTCGACCCTAAAGACCATATCGTAGTTTATCTTACACATTCCCTAAAGGCAGGAAGGATAACGGGACATAAAGACTCAAGACACGCGCGAGATGCAACTATCTGTTTTAGCTTCGTCTTTAGCTGATGTAAACCAACCCTGAACTGCCAGGGGTTGTTTCCAAATTAATTTATGTTTATTACAAACAAAAAACCACCCCTTACTGCCCTAAGTTTCCAACTTGCTATTATACACTGGCTTAACTCTCGCAAATTATTACGGGACGATATTATTACAATTCGAAGTACCTCTCTCTTGCAATATGCAGATAACATGTTCATATGTTGGCTCTATGAATTTTTGAAGTAAATGTTTAGAAATAACTGCAAATTGGATACTTCACTGCACTTGAAATGTATTCACATAAGGAGCGTGCATTCATAAAGCGGATGCCATTTCCGGAGAGTAATAACACTTTTCTACCTAATAGTGCAATTTGTGCGGCACACTAAATACTAAAGGAAATGGAAAAATGTTCTCATTTCAGCTTATTATAATAATTCTGTGTGTATTGCTTTATCCGTGGTACAAACTCTGTAAAGTAGGTCGAGCAAAATTGAAATTTGTTTGTTTTCCTGAAAATGAATATATTGTACCGGTGAGAGAATTTGTTATTTGGAACGTCTAAACTCGCCAGTCACCGCTTTCGGTAATCGTCAAAGTGGGAAATTTAGAAAAAAGGGAGCATAATATGTAGACTAAAAAAAGGAGTACGCATACGCAACCTGAATTTCAATTGCAACAAATGTAAATTTTACAAGGTAGCGCGTCTACATTTTTTTTTATTAAACCAATAGTAATTTACTACTAAAAATTTCATCAGTGGTTCGAAATCTCATTCTTAAATTGTCATTAAACATTTTACACACTTCAGTTACTTACATGTTGTTATTGGTTAGTTTCGTTTATTTTATTTTTTCTGTACCTAGTTATTAATAAGAATAGCAGCAATTGTCAATAACATTAACAGGTAACATCATACTAAAATTACATGATAAGTGCCAGTACAATTAACATAAAAAGAAACTTTTACGGAAGTAAGAACAATAAATTAAGAGAGAAATGCAAGTAGAATAATAATAATTATAACAATAATAATAACAATACTAACACGTTTAATAACCACGGATTGGAATAGCATAAGGACGTGATGTTATTTTGACTTAAAACGCCGCGAGTCTCTTTGAATTACTGGTTTTTGGTCACAAATTGGGTTACGCAAACATTTCTTTCCGAGAGTTCCAAAAATCATGACTAGCACTCCGCGGTTATTAATTTCTGTGGTTTGTACTTAATAATTCCTTTAAAGATCTATTCAAGTGTAGCACAAAAAATCACTGGCTGGCAGGGTTTTTCATACTTAAGCCCGAAGGCCGAAATAGTATATCCTTAAACGTTTTGAATGTTCAAAAAACAATAGAACATCCGCGCTATATGGAAAGTCCCGTCAACACGAAACAAACTAAATAATAGTG